ATGGGCAAATGTACTTTCGTAATTTTATCAGAGTGCTGCAAAGACCTGATTTTGGACATGGACTTGCTGCGTGAATACGGCGCCATTATCAACATTCTTGAAAGTCGGTTACGTTTTGGATGACCCCCGGTCAAGTTTCGGATTGGCCCTGTACAGACCAGCGACGTAAACCTTTGTGCGTCTTCGACGACGATGTGACTATCCCGCTGTGACCGAATGCGCTCGGGGCTGTGACATGTGACACGTCGAGCAATTCTGAAAACATCGACGAGCGAATTCAAACGCTGCTCATCAGCCATCATCGAATTATAACGAGCGACCTGACCAGACCCATCAAGCAAAACCCCTACTGGGTAGCGCCACGGGAACGTGAAGCCATTGAAAACCAGGTGCGACAAATGCTTGAAGGTGATGTTATTCAGCCGTCGAAAAGCAAGAGGCGTCGTGAGCATTATATGGGGGCACACGCACGTTCTTGTTAAGAACTTCAGCTCTGAACGCCGACATCAGACGAGGGGCATGGCAGTCGCATACATGGAAGAGCTCGCCGAGACGACAGAACTGCCTAACTCTTGAGATGGATAATTCCACTGATCTGCCCCCCATACCTCTATCTGTTGATATTGGCCCATGTTTGCTGCCAGCGCAGAAGCAAAATATCCTGCAGCTTATTAACCATTTTGAAGATTCTTTATCTTCGACGTCCAGTGTCCATCAAACGTCACTGACGAAACATCGAATTATAACGAGCGACCTGACCAGACCCATCAAGCAAAACCCCTACTGGGTAGCGCCACGGGAACGTGAAGCCATTGAAAACCAGGTGCGACAGATGCTTGAAGGTGACGTTATTCAGCCGTCGAAAAGTCCTTGGGCTTCACTGGTTGTATTACTGAAGAAAAAAAATTGCCCGCAGCTTCCCTCGGGGGAACACTGAGGAGGATGCGGAGCATATAATTGGTTAACGGGGTGTTAAAGTGCGACTTACTTGGGTCAATGGCTAAATTGGTTAACGTGGTTGTGAAATGGGGTGTTAAATTGCGACTTACTTGGGTCGATGGCTAAATTGGTTAACGTGGTTGTAGGAGGGGGTGTTAAATGAGTGAACACGTACACACGTATGCGAAAGGGCGGCGCTGGTCGAAGGGACGTCGATCATTGTGTTTGTGGATTCGTTGGAATTCATTTCACCGCGACCTTGGACGTCGACGCGCCGTACAAACCAACCGACGAGCGGCAACTGAGCGAGCGAGCGCCGACCTTGAGTATATATACAGCTCGACGGTGCATGCACTGTCAGCTGTTGAATGTTCTCGAAGTGCGACGCCACATGCGCGTCCACTGGAGAATCAGGAGAATTGTAGATGTCGAACGCGGTGTGTAGAGGAGGAAGGGTGCACAGATGGTGGAGGAGTGAAGCGCGCGCGGTGTGTAGAGGAGGAAGGGATGCACAGATGGTGGAAGAGTGGGCGACGGCGCATGCGCGCGCGTCAGCTGTCGAATGTTCGAGAAGCGGTGCGGACGGCGCACTACAAGGCGCGAGTATAAGATGCTTCGCATCTAAAAGACAGCACCGTACGTTTCTGCGTGGACTACCGCAAGCTGAATCAGATGACAAAAAAAGACGTCTACCCACTTCCGCGCATCGACAATTCACTCGATTGACTACGGCATGCGCGTTATTTTTCGTCGATGGATCTAAGGAGTGGTTATTGGCAGATAGAGGTCAATGATAGAGACCAGGAGAAAACAGCTTTTGTGACACATGATGGCCTTTTTTGAATTTAAGTACTTCCATTTTGCTTGTTTGTGCTCAGCACCGGCTACGTTTCAGCGGCTGATGGGTACCGTACTATCAGGCCTCAAGTGGCAGACGTGCTTAGTGTATTCAGATAACGTCACCGTATTTTCTGCCACATTCCGCGAACACGTCAGGTGACTGCACTCAGTATTTCGAGCTATCCGTTCCGCCAGACTTATACCTAAGCGAGAAAAATGATACTTCAACTTTGAAGAGCTTATGTTCCTGGGGCATCTTGACAGCAGTGAAGGTGTGCAGCCTGACCCTGAAAAAATAGCTGCCGTTACAAATTTTTGAGTGCCAACTGACGAAAAGGTGGTCAGATGGTTTTTAGGACTGTGTGCGTAGTACCGACGCTTCATTGAGAACTTCTCGCGCATTGCCTCGCCATTGACCCACCTCACCAGAGAAGACGTCGCATTAGTATGGAATGAAGAACTCCAAAAATCATTCGACGAGCTGCGGCAACACCTTCAGACGCCACCAGTCCTCGCAAACATTGATGATTACCCCCCGAAAACAGTGCACACCGACGCTAGCAATGTCGGCTTAAGAGCTGTACTCGTGCAGTGGCAGGATAGCGCTGAATGAATAATTGCTTAAGTGAGCAGAACTCTTTCACGTGCGGAAGAAAATTATTCCACCACGGAAAAAGAGTGTCTTGCGGTAGTGTGGGCCGTTATGAAATTCCGCCCATGTTTGTATGGTCGTCCTTTTAATGTTGTCAGCAACTATCACTCCCTCTGCTGGCTGACAAATTTAAAAGACCCTTTAGGACGGTTGGCGTACTGGAGCCTCAAGCTTCAAGAATTTGACATGACGGTGGTCTACAGATCGGGGAAGTAACATTGAGACGCCGATTGCTTTTCTTGTGGGCCATACGAACCTGCAACGGCAGAAGATGACGATACAGTCTTTGTCTGAGTTGTAAACACGAACAATGTCGCACAGCTGCAACGAGACGACCCGGAATTAGAACCCATATTTTGTTTTTGGAGGGTCACACTTCAGCTGTACCTGGACTGTTTGTGAGAGGGCTTTCGTCATTTTGCTTGTGTAACGACGTCTTGTATAAGTTGAACTTCAAGTCACACGGAAACTACTACTTACTCGTCGTGCCAACATCTCTAAGGAGTGAAGTATTACAGGCATGCCACGATGAAACAACATCCGGCAACTTGGGTTACACGCGTACGCTGTGCAGAGTGAGGCAGAAATACTACTGGCCAAGACTGACGGCGAACTTTCAACACTATGTTCGGACGTGCCTTGATTGCCAGCGCAGAAAAGTCCCACCCGTAAACCAGCAGACCTCCTCCCTCCTATCGACGTGCCTGTTACTCTATTCGCTCAAGTCAGAATTGATATTTTGGGCCCCTTTCCCACCTGATTGGCAGGTCTCAGATTAATTTTAGTAGTCAGCGACTACCTCACTCGTAACGCCAAAACCAAGGCTCTGGAGAGGGGCACGGCAAGTGAAGCAGCCCGACTTTTCGTGGAAAATGTGCTGCTGAGGCATGGCGCTCCGTTAGTGGTAATAACTGACAGGAGAACTGCATTCGCAGCCGAACTATTACAGACAGTTTTAAGACCTAGTGACACATCCCACCAGCGAACAACGGCGTATCATCCGCAAGCGAATGGTCTTACGGAGAGTCTCAACGAGACACTTGCGGATAAGCTCTGCATGTAGGTCGATATGGAGCATAAAAACTGGGACGAGTTATCGCCGTATGTCACGTTCGCCTATAACATGGATCATCAAGAAACAAGAGCAACATCATTCCACCTTCTTCATGGTCGTGAAGTCACCACTATGCTGGATGCCATGCTATCGCACGAGTGTGAAAACGTCGACACGGATGCTGATTATATCGCCCAGCTTGCCGAAGAAGCCCGACAACTTGCACGCCTGCATATTATTCGCCAGAAGGACTACAAGTAAAGACGGTACAACCTTCGTCACCGACTAGTCTCATACGAGCCAGGAGAGAAAGTTTGGATATGGACTTTTATCCGGGGCCGTGGCCTCTCAGAAAAACTGTTAAGACGGTACTTCGGGCCTTATAAAGTTGTACGACGTCTCAGTGATATTAATTATGAGCTTGTTCTTGAGACTGCGCACTCCTTAAGGCGTCGATGGTGTGCTCCAGAAGTTGCGCACGTTGTTCAGATGAAACCCTATTTCTCCGAATGAACTCAAGCTTTTCCACCGAGTACAAACCACTTTGATCACAAAGCATCGGGACGATGCTTTCTTGAATGGCAAAGTAATGTCACAGTTAAAGGCCGGGCAAGAAGACAGAGGACGACGAGGTGATGAGCGTGGACAGCACCCATGATTGCTCCAAGGAAGACGACGTCGAAGCGGCTGCTTTTTTGTTCTGTTAATACAGACCTTGTTTTTCCTGATCAGACCGTCGTCCTGTATCATGTTATTTTCATTTCGCGACAATATCATTTTCGTATGGCCGTCACCAACACTTACACTACCGTTTGACTAGGCTTCAATGTCTGGCATAGTTTAACCATCAAAGCCTTTCCTGTAGGTGGTCCAGTCCGTGAGCTGGGCCTTTCCTGTCTGGAGCGATCCGTGAGCCTGGCTGGTCCACCTCTATTTCAATGATGTGATGGTTGCTCGCTAGAGTGTCCGGTAGTCTTCTCCGCGTTGCGTTGTGCACATCTCTAGGGAACGTGAAATCCGGATTAGTATTCCTCGACACGCTGTTGCCCACTCGGGTTGGATGGAGCAAGTCCTTCCACTGCGTCAAATCATGTTGCTGTGCAGCATCGTGACAGACAGACGAACATTTTTACATTTAAATATCGCAAGAAAGATTATTATGTTTAAAAAGCGCACACTTCGATGCCTCTGCTCCTTGCCTCAACGAGCGCTACTCGCACCGCTCACCCTCAGGCTGACAGCGCTGCACACGCCGCTCCGCGTGCTCCACAGAACGGCATTAGGCGCCGCGGCAGAGTTTAACAACTGAATCTAGTAACATTGGTTGATGAAGGGCATGGCCCGGAGGCGTAACGTTCATGACACGCCAAGCACAATGAAAATTCAGGCAGCATACGGCAAACGCTAGTCTCGTATTACTTGGTACATTTTCCGTAACACTGTGTGCCAAAATACTGCTTAGCTGCCACCTGCCTTGACAGTTTTGAATAATCATTTTCTACGTTCCTGATGCAGTGTATACTACGTGGCACCACAAAACAAAACTCCGACGGTTCTGCTGCGAGTTCATGGTGAGACAGATAACATCTACTGCTCATTTACCTTTTGTTCATTAGAGTATTACGTGATGCAGATATCTCATTCAAAATTCCTAACGTTTTTAACAGGCTAATATGGCTTTTTTGTGAAAACTGTCTAGAAACTGTCGAGGACACGGTTTTCCGGATTCGTTTCAAAGTGAGTTGTCAGAAAAAGATCATGTCAAAGGTAATAAAATCACATAATAAACAGTTATATATTATATTATCGGTCTACCTAACTTTCACAAATTATATGGTCACACATGCTGCATTGAACTTAGCTTGTATTAGCACCGCACGTACAAAAATGAAAGGGGGAATACGACAGAGACAACTAGTAAGGTAGGCGCTCTGTCTTCTTTCCCCTTTTATTTTCGTATGTGTCGACCTACTACAAGCTAAGTTCATGAAAAACCAGCTCGCCCGAGCCACAACACACGCTGCAGGTTTAGTTCCAGCTGATGAAACCCGATGCGTCAAATTGTGCTTGCACAAGCTTTTAAAACTGTCGTTAAAGCGCTAGCAAAATACAATATCACTAAAGTTAGTTCAACAGGGATGCGTCATGCAGTGGATTGAAGAACAAAAGTTTCAAGAATGTCCACATTCTTTTAATGTCTGTATAATGTGTGAAAGCTGTATTTTTGTGTAAACTTTTCGGTAAAAAGAACTACGGGGCCTGCAGTAGTTGTTATATTATACATAAGTAATGTCACAATACATGAAAGTTTTCATTAGCAGCCAGCAACAGGCTTTTTTGAATGCGAAGCATTGCTTGGTGAACTTCGGTGACTTTGAGCGTATCTATCTATTATTCTATCTATCTATCTATCTATCATCTATTTACCTATCAGTCTATCTATCCATTATGACACATGTGGCTTTTAGCTCTCTCGCCGTCTTGATAATGGTATCGATGCTTTTATGGTCTTTTATCGATACTTTTATGGTATCGAAAACTTTTATGGTGTAACATGACTGTATGACAACCATAACTGACTAGTCATAACATAAAAATCATTATTAGTATGTCACTGATGTCATGATTTACATTTCATGGTCTTGCTGTTCTTGAGGTGGTTTTGTTCACATCACATTTTGCAAAGCTGGTATGGTATGGCATGACTGCATAGTGAATATAAGTGACAGACCCTAACGTGGAAATCATTACATGCATGTCATGATTTTCATGTGATGACTAGTCACACGCCACGCTCGTGGTGCACTCGCGGTCGTTTTGCTAGCTTCGCATATACTAAATTTGGCGTTACGGGACGTGATCGATGAAGTTACATGACTGGGGCAGAAACGGTAATATAAGAAGCGTATCATATAAGCACATGACCGTATGCCACACTCATGATACGCTCGCGGCCGTTTCGCTAGCTTCACATGAACGGAATTCGGTGTTACGTAACGTGAATGGATGACGAAAGTATATGACTGTTGCAAACATGGTAATCAGGACAAGAGTGTCACGTAAAAACATGACAACCAACGGCGCTCATGTTGCGCTCGCAGACCTTTCAGTAGGTTTACAAATATGATATTAGGTATTACGGGACGTCAATGGATGACGAAGGTAATTGACACGTCCAAAAATGGCAATCGTGACATGCAAGTCATGTAAAACATGACTACATGCTAGACGCATAGCGTGCTCGTAACCGTTTGGCTTGCTCTACATAAACCAAATTTGGTATCACGTGACGTGAATAGACTACAAAGGTATATGACAGGTCTAAACAAGATATTCATGGTATGCTTCTCATTTCAAACATGGTTACATGCTACGCTCATAGCATGCTCACGACCGTTTCACTAGCTCCACATATATCAAATTTTGTATAAAGTAACGTGAATAGACGACGAAGGTAACTGACACGTCTAAACATGATAACTTTGATATGCGTGTCATTTCCAACATGACCCCTTGCTACGCTTATAGTGTGCTCGCGGTCGTTTTGCTAACTCCACATATACGAAATTTAGTATTATATGGCGTGAATAGACGACGAAGGTAAATTACACGTCTAAGTGTGATAATCATGATATGCGTGTCTTCTGAAACATGATTACATGATACGCTCATAGCATACTCACGGCCGTTTCGTTATGTACACATATACCAAATTTAGTTTCAGGTGTCGTGAATAGATAGCAAGGCTAAATGACACATCCAAACATGATAATCGTGGCAGGGAAGTCACGTGCGGGCTAACGTACGTCCACCTGGTAACGTTGTGATCAATTTCAAGTGACATATCGACCTTCCTCATTCGTGCTTCGCGTATCATCGATTAACACAGTACGTGGAATCCGCCAATTTTTCCCAATACTTTGCTAAGCTAAATGTCATTTTTGGGATCACACAAGGACTGCTGTCAAAAGAATCTTGCAACTTCGAGCAGGCTCTCCTGCAATTTTGAGGACTACGGACGTATATGAATGGCTTGCTTAGTGGATAGCGTCTCCGCCAGATACGCCTTATGGTATTTATTTTTCATATTCCCCTTGGCTGTTCCTCCGCTTCTTTAACCTTCATGTTCTGTTTCTCTCTCCCCGTGCGTAGGGTAGGCAATCATTCATGAATGGTTAGCCTCCTTGCCTTTTGTTGTCATGTTTTTTTCTTTTTTTTTCTCTCTCTCTCGCAAGAACTCGTTGGAACTTCTGGCCTGGACTCTAGTAACGCCGGTAAAACGCTACAATATGGTGTATGTGCGCATTATTATCTCGACTACTTCACGTTCAACCTATTGCATCGTTGTTGTCGAGGCAGCAGTGCCATCTCGTTGGTTTACATAGTAGAAAGTGCCTTATACTTTCGCCCACAGTCCTAACTTTTCAGCAAGATATATGTATCGCAAAGCCGCCAAAATAATGGTGATCCATTTATATACGCTATTTATCACTGTTGGTATGCCGACCTCGAGGAGGGGGGGGGGGGGGGGGATATATCAGCCTGTTCTCAGCTTTTCTATTGAGATGGCACGAAAAGTGCACTCAGCGGCCCGCTTGTGTCTTTTGCCCTACGGTGCCTCATTCCCTCGCGCGTCGCATGCACGCTTATCTTACGGTAGTAGAGCATTCTACGTCTTCTGCTTTCAAAGGAGAGATTATGTTCCAGTTACAGGGTGCATGAAAGTCACTTCGTTGATTGCAGTTATTCCATTTGCAAAAAGAACGTTTTTTTTTTCAAAAACACCGAAGTAGCAACTGGGACACTAGTTCGCGCTCGTCCTCTTTATGCTTGTGCGTACACATTTCATGCCACCTTTTAGTTTCAGCATCACACTAAACGTTGAATTTAAATGTTTTCAGCTTGCGTTTGCGCTGTGTGTGTTGTTTTGAGGAGTAAAGCTCTTTAGGCTCGTGCTTCATGGTCGAGGCTACCTGTATCGTGCAAGCGTGCCGAGCATAACAACAGGTGCCCTCCCACTTCGCCGCAGTGGGAGCCTAGGTGTGGCGCTCGCAGGCACACGCCGTTGCTTTGACTCGTAGGCGCATGCCGCGCTACGTTGCTTTGACACATCCGTGTTTCAGCGTCACCCCCGGAAGCTTTTCAGGCCTGCGCGTCACGTGACGTGACGTCGACGACGTCACATCGCGCCGGCCGGCCGGCCGCCCTTCGCTGGGTGGCTGCGCCAGCCGCGAGCGCCCTTCACGCCTACCGACTCGGGCGAGGTTCCTTGACACCATGTCCGCACGATTTATCAAGGTATCCATTGATTGTATGGTTTAACGCGCCGACGCAACGCAGGCGATGAAGCGCGCCGTAGGGGAGGGCTCAGGATCAAGTTTTACTACCTGGGAATCTTTATTGTGTGCCGAAATCTCGTACACACGGGCGTTTTTGCTTTTCGCCTCCATCAGAAATGCGGCCGCCGCAGCCGGGTATCGAAACTGCGCCCTAGTGCTCAGCAGCGCTACGCCTTAGCCACTGAGCCACCGTTGCGGGGGAACTTATCAAGGTATCAAGAAATAATGAATATCGTGAATGGAATAATGCGTATTTATTTATCACAGCCAGACGCCGTCTGTACAAATATCACAGTGCACATTGTTCTCGGTCCAGGCAGACGACAGGCAACACAAGATGTTGCCCTTAATGCTGAAAATATGCCAAAAGTACAAAACACAATATCTTGCCACATAAAACTCAGAAAACAAAACAGATTGTAACAGCAAAAACATCCCCGAGCTTTGGAACAGAAAAAGCACACTTTCATTTAAATTGTAGGTTAGAGGAAAACATACTATTCGTTTATCATAGTAGCAGTAGCAACACAAGGTATCAGGTTCAAACACTTGCCAAAAAATACAATACATAAGAACACTGGTGACTAAATTGTGGTCCACAGCATGATAAATGACAGAAAGAAAAGTAATTGTACTGCCACAGGTAGGTGCATGTTCTAGGGAAAAAATCAAACAAAAATCTAAGAAAAAACAAATCACAGTGCACAACATGTCTGTACACAGAGTGCACAAGGAAAGTGTACACAGCTTAGGTACCAAAACGGACTGTACAACTGCTACAGTGGGCACCAAGGCAGTTCGAGTTAAAAAAAAAGAAAAAAGTACAGCACCTTTAAAAGCTAACAACTTGTAAAGAGATACAAAACTGGAAACAAGGCTCAAACAAGGGAATGTATTGCTTGAGCCAGGTGGCAATAAGTGCAGCGCTCCTCAGACAGCATCGACAGGTTGTTCAAAATTTCCAACAAGGAACTTACTTTTTGAACTGAGTCTGGTACAACAGCGCTACCAAGGTTCTTGATTGGTGAACCTTGATAGCAGGCAAATACTTCAAGGTTTGCAAACACGGTCAATGACGCATTCAAACAAGGTTCACGATAGTCGATAATGTTCAAAAACATGGAGCACTCTTCTTTATGAATCACAGTCCACTTCGGAGACACTGACACCCCTTGCAGGCAAGCCCTTAGTTCTTCGAGGGACGAAAACCGGTCTCGTTCTTGCTCTGCTTC